ATTGTAATGTGTATCTTTCAGTTTTCAAACTCTCAACTTTATATCAATTGTCACTGTTTACCATATTTATTTCTCTGTACCTTCCCCCAAAAGTTGTAGCAGGCGAGTCTGTAACCTGACTTCCTTAGTTTAGAATTGTGTGATTATATAATTCTCTCGCAGTTACCCCAATTTTGTCACATGTGATGTTATTTGGATGACATTAAATGCTCTGGCTCAAACTTTCAAAAGTGCATGGTATTATTAAAAATGCTGATACCTAACCTCACCATTGAAATAAGGAATTGGTCACAAGATATGTGATATCTAGAAAAGCAAGTATTCTCCTTTAATTAGGACGGAACTGATGGATGCCCTCCTAATTTGATTCATGTTTATACTTTCACCAGCCTCCACCCCTTAAATGTTTAGGGGCATATAGAGGAAGAGTACTTTTTCGTAGTGCACAAGGTGAGATTAAGAGGGCCTTGGATTTAAAGGTTAAAAAATTAAAATAAGAGAGTTGCGTAGACCATATCCTACTCTTTCATAATCCTCTGGACATTTGCACAAATGACAGTGATTATCAATCTCATTCACTTTCTGTATCCACTGAGCTCGTGGCAAGATAATGACATTCGTATTTTTTTAAATAAAGAAACAAAAGTCTGCCCTCTTACAGCAGATAGTTATTTATGCATGAGCAAATTACTATTTTTATGGCACTCTCTGAAGATTAAAATTTAAAAGCAGACACAAAGCTCTGGTTCGGTACCAACTCTTGCTCATTATGTTCTTGTAAATTGAGGTGATTTTACCATTATGAACATAAACCTGGTTTAATGTGTACGTGAAGGTTATCGATCCAGGTAGGCTGAGTTTATAAATTAGTTAAAGAAATTTCTCGATTGTTTCCTAGCAAGGTTTGACTCATTGTTACCTAACTAACCTAAACTGAAGAAATAGAATATAGAATTAGTTTGTTCTCCTTTTAAGGTGTGCATGATACTTTTGATATCATAGCAGGCTTGAACTAAATGGAAAGGTTTATAAGAAATCTGCATGCTTACGTGTGTTTCAAAGTCAAAACCGGAATTGTCCGGGTACTAACAGGTGTCGAAAAGAAGTTTGCTAAGCATTTTCATAAGAACACATTTGTTCTTCTAAGAATCGTGCTAATCTGCCTAATGCCGAATTCT